TAACTCACTGAATGGTATCTTAGAAGAACCATGTTCACCAAACGAAAAAAAATTCAGCGTCTCTCACTCCTTAGTGTCTGAACAGACAAGGATATTAGACTTAAGGTGCCGTGGTCCTGATGACACTTAATTAGGGTGTCTCTGTTGGCGTTAGGGTTGGCTGTTAGGGTGTCTCTGTTGGTAACTACACGTAATGTAGTTGCATTGCCTTCCTTCTATATATTGCTAATACAAATTGCAAGAGCATGTTTGTCTGTTTCTCACATATATCTTGCATGTTTTTATAATTAAGCTACACACCTTGACATAGATACCACTGCCATTCTGTCAGTTATCTTAGCAGTTGTTGGCCTTACACTTTACATTATGCATTATATTATGCATATGGCAGTTTGCCTTGCTCTGAATCTTGAACAGCTACAACCTAATCAGATTATTGAAAAAAATAGAAAATTATGAATGTTGACTCTTCATACTGATCCTACAAAATTCTTTTCAATTATGATGGTTTGTAAGTCGCTAATGGCCATAAACCATTTTTATTATATTAGTCATTTTGAGTTATTAATTATCCATTTTGTACTCCCTGCTACATTCTCCTGTATTATCTACTTACTCTCTATATGCCTATGTATGCATTATTTTAGTGAAAGCATTGTTACCTGATTGTTTTTCACAGCTTCCTGTAAAAATGTAAGAAACGTAATTCTGCAGTCTCGTGAGATAAAATTGGAGGGGCTGTGTGGCATATCAGTAAATCTTTTATAAGAGAGAAATTTTCACATATATCTAAGGGAAAGAATATGTTTCTTGAAGACATGTTTTATGAATAAATTTGGAACATATGAGTAGACAATAGAGTTAAATAAAATTTGTAAAAGTGTAGGTAATGTATGCATTCAGGTTTTGTTATTTTGCATGCATTTTCACTTTAATTACATAAGAATTCCAGCCACTGCGTTATTCCAACAAATTGTTGTGCATTAGGGACACCATGTTAGCAGCAACAACGAATATATTCGTATCCTTCTTACCCAGGGCATCCTCAAGAAAACAAAAGCAAATGTAACATGAATGTTGAAAGTAATAAGTATTCTTCAGCCTTATAATGTTGTATCTGTTTAACATCTCATTTATTCCTATGCCATCAAGTGGGTTTGGTCTACTGTCCATAGAATTGCTATTTCCACTGTTTATTAATATGCAGTGTGTTCATCAATTATCTTGCCTTATTTAATGAGTAATTAAATGTTCCTAGTTTGGCCAAAAAATAACAATACAATAAAAATCTTAATTGGCTTCCTCTCAGTTATTTATGGCATGATCAGATAGCCCTGTCTGCAGCTGTTAATTGCACTAAACATTGATTGATAGGTTCAGCCAACATAATTATGGAAAATGATGCATCTTTTTTCAAAAATACTGATGGAATCAGAGTCTGTAGGGTGTTTTTGTTCTAGACGTATCTTAACATATTAAAGCTGGATCGAGGTGCGAGAGTGATTTAGGAATTGTGTTGGTTTTTTTCTGTGCAGAAGAATTGTCCACTAAATGTTTAAGAAAAGCACCACTCCTTTCTTCAGTGCAGAGAATATTGTACTTATTCTTTTCTTCCTGGAAGGTGTGCTATGGTACATTCTTGAGTTTTTTTCTAATTCATTATAGTTTCAATACTGTAGCAGCAGTAATATAGTTAAGGTAAAATGAAGCTATATTCTAGTTAATGCTCATTTTTTTATCACAATTGACAAATGATAAAATAAATATTTTCAATGCTGTTGCAGCAGAAAAAAAACCTCATAATGCATACACCAGTCTAAGAGTTGGGAATAAACAGTTTTTACTCTGAATTTCAATTTCTCCCAGGTTTTGGAGCCTTTACCATCACTCCTTTTTGTTACACAGGTTGGTTGCTCCCTTTTGTTTTTTGTTTGGTTTTCTATCAGTCTCTGGTCTTTGCTACTTCTTTTTTTCCTTCTCTTTTAAATCTGCTGCTCCTGTGAAGTTTTATCCTCCTTTTTTTGTAACTCTATGATCTTTTGCTTTCACAAGCATATTTTCTCTGTTATTCTCTGTATCTGTTCATCTGATTCCTCTTGGGCAGATCATCCTATCTATTTTCTGTTTTTTCTCTAGCACTTCCTCATGGAAGATTCATTGACAGCTCAGACTCAAAATGGGTGTAGAACTAAATGTTATCTTTTCTCCTGAACATTTCCACCATCCTACTTGCCATCCAAGCTCATATAGCAGTGCTTAGCCAATCTTCCTCCACAATTTATGGAAAGCCTCTCCCTTTCTCTCTATACAGACAAATGTCACTTTTCATAAGCTTTTTCACTTTTTAAGACTTCTTGCGCATCCTCCTAGCATCCATATTGCCAGTCCCTCCAAAACACAGCTGGTTACACTGCTGCTCTCATCGGTCAAACCATGCTCATATCTTTTAAGCTCATCTTTATCTTCAAGATGTTCCATACTAATCTGTCCCAGCCTATAAATGAGATCAAGTGTTCCCTCATCCCAGACATTCTGCTCTATCAATATATTAAGACTACATAGTCTTTAATAATTCCATGACATCCCCCATGTCTGTCATGACTTCACTATTCTGTAAATTATTGGTTCTTTCAGTTCTTTGTCTACATATACTCTTTTTCCACAGTCCACAAAAATGAAAAATTTATAGCCATTCAGATAATGAAAAAATGAAAATAAATCACTGGTTCTGGGCATGTCCCACCTTACTGTACTCTCAGAGTCTTTCCCATAACTTTGGGGCAAGGTTTTACTATTTTTATCTTATATAGCACACTAGTCTATTGTTATCCCTAAGATAATTTATCAGTCATCTTGAGGACTGTTGCATGATTGTAAATGGATTTAAATAAAAATTAACTGTCTGAAGCCTTGTTTTCACAAGCCTTCAAGTGTGAAAGATATTCATAGATACCATAGATTGGAGTATTTTTATTTGGTGATTATATCCTTTAGTGGTATTCTTCTTGATGGGATATTCTTGGTCAAGTCACATTTTCAATTATCTAAGTAATGGATCTACTACTACATCCCTTTGGATGTTTCTCTATTACACAGTCTAATAGATCACATTTTTAAACGAGTTGGTGGGGATGTAAAATGCTCTTTAGAAGTGCTAAGGATTGTCACTACAGTATAATTGACGAGTCTAGCTCTCTGAATATATTATTTTTATGCTTTTATAAGTGCCTTTGGCCATACTCCTCCTCAGGTAAGCCAGCGAGCTCATCCGTTTGGAATATTTCAAGTGTCTTTTGTGGTATTTTGAAAACTCTTTTTTTGGAATTCAGGGTCTCCTGAGAATGAACAATTTCTGCATTGCAGGGATCCAGTGAGGGGGAGTGAAGTGCAGGACATCCACACGAGCTTTGAAGCATATTGAAAAAAACTCCTCTTTAGCTCACTGCAGATTCAAAAGAAAATATAAAATATGTTCTGATGAAATGCAGAGCATGCTTTTCCAGACTAACATTAACTTAATTCTGTTTTAGAAAACTTCATTGTTGCTAATTTGCCAGTAGGTACAATGTCTACAACCTGTTAAAACATGAACTTTATCTGAGAGATCACTGGAGGAACATAGTGGAAAGCTGTTTGCTATGCATGTCTGTCCATACTCCAAGAAAGATCTCAAGGGTGACGTTTCCAAAAGTATTATGTGATTAGCCATGCTGGAAAGGAATAAAGTATCTGAGTGACTCCCATTTCAGTTGCGCGCGGTATAAGAGGGCATCCTCTGAGGAGTCCTCTGCCTGTCAGGAGCTGAGACAGCACGATGAGAATGTTTTGCCACATCTGAAACCCCATAATTTACACATTAGTAGCTCAGAGGTTGCAGTAGCAGTTGCATCCAGACTTTTGCTAGTGGTGGGAGCTAAAGTGAGGACATCTGGCCTCAAACAGAGTGGTTATCATATTGCTTGTGATGAAGATTTCCATTTTCAATTTGTTGTAATCAATAGTCTATAACATTGTGAGTCACTTCAGGGCCGAATAACTGCGATCAGGTATTAAGTGTTGAAATCTCTTACAATGTTATAGCAGTGTGCAAGTTTTGGCTATGCCAATTCCCCTAATGGTAGAAGAAGTAGTATTTAAACACTGCTTAGTACTCTGAAAATTTATGGAAAATTAAACCAAGCCACGCATTATCAGAATAAGATTTTTTTTTGTGTGAATAGGAGCAAGCAAACAGTAAATACAACAACCCCAAATATATAGGTTATTAAACAGGTGGTTTGGCTTCATTTTTACAGAGTTAGTATAATGTGTTATTGTTTTATTCTTACTTTGAAAATATCTTACAGAAGTAATGTTTTGATATTGTCTTGAGATGCTTACAGTCTAGGCAGACAACATGGGGATCAAGTAAAACTGTACTTGAATCATGAACAGATGTGCATTGAAGACAGAGAAAAGTTTCCCATTATTTGCACCACACTTTGTATTTGGCCCAAAGTAACCCGGAAAGCACTCCATTAAGGACATGACCTTTTTTAATGCATTTATTTGGCCCTGAAAACATGCAGATGAGCAATTAAGGCCTCCTGGGAGTCCCCTGTCTATGAATGTTTTCAAGACTGAGGTTTTAGAGTATAGGTGGTGATCCTTATCTTGCTGTGGATTTGTGAACAACAGTGAATTTCATATCAGAAAAATTTTCTTGCATCTGTTTTCTAGCTGGAGGAACAAGGTAATTTTTCTTGTGTGTTATTTAGGTATCCCCTATCACTACATTGGAAATGAGAACGATTAAGCGATAAAAAGAATCAGAGAATGTTTATTCCAATTATTTTTACGATAAGAAACAATGAATGAAAATTTTGCACATGCTGTTTTTTCTCTTAGCTTGAATATCTTATGACTTCTGTTGTATTTTATTCTTTTAGGCCTTTCTCGGAGATCTGCCCTTTGCATAGCCATACGTATTAGATGACTTTGGGATTTGCTTTACATCAACGATGAAGGGATTATCTAGCAGCCGTAGTCATCATCATGGGGTTGCCTGTGACCCTCAGTGTGACAGTCTGCCACACCACCCAGACAGGAAGCCATATTTGTTAAACCCGATGGACCCCCATCCTGCAGACCACCCTTACTACACTCAAAGGAACTCTTTTCAGGCAGAGTGCATGGTGCCCTACAATGATCAGATTGCCAGCAGCACTTTTCCCCGGAGGCATTACAATTCCCACCATGAACTCAAGGACGAGTGTGCTCTGGTTCCCCACGGAACTGCCAACAAGACCAACCGCATTGGGCGCCTGCCTCTGAATCGGGATGGCTACCATACTCTGCAGTACAAGCGGACTGCCATGGAGCACCGCAGTGACAGCCCAGGGAGGATCCGGCATCTGGTTCATTCTGTCCAAAAGCTCTTTACCAAGTCCCATTCACTGGAGGGACCATCCAAGGGGAGCGTCAACGGGGGCAAAGCAAGCCCAGAGGAGTCGCAGACGATGAGGTATGGGAAGCGCAGCAAGAGTAAAGAAAGGCGATCAGAAGGTAAGCCCAGATCCAATGCATCAGGATGGTGGAGTTCAGATGACAACTTGGACAATGATGTTTGCATTTATCATGGTCCCAGTGGGGTCATGACCATGGGAAGATGCCCTGATCGTTCTTCTTCCCAATACTTTATGGAAGCCTATAACACTATTAGCGAACATACTGTGAAGTCATCCAGAAGCAATAATGATGTCAAATGCTCTACCTGTGCAAACCTGCCTGTGAATTTGGACTCCCAGTTAATGAAGAAAAGCTCTTGGTCCTCTACATTAACCGTGAGCAGAGCCCGTGAAGTTTACCAGAAAGCATCAGTTAACATGGACCAGACAGTGGTGAAGGCAGAGACGTGTCAACAGGAACGGTCATGTCAGTACCTCCAGGTACAGTGTGGAGAACTGATTGCTGTTAACTGTGCTCTGCCTTGTCTCAGGTGTTTGTGCGGGGATGGAGGTTTGCTCTGATGTTTCAACTTTCCCAAGAGGTCACTGATCACCAAACAAGGGGCAATGCTGCTGAAATTAAAAATAAATCTGCTTTTCCTTTTCTTTTTTTTTTTTTGCCAGCATTCAGTATTTCAAAGAAACAGTTCATGTTGGAACAGGCTTAATTTTCTCATGTGGGAAAAATGAGACCTTTCTGTGTACTTTTTGAATTTATAAGGCAGTCACAGTAGGGGTATAGGGAATTTGATGTTGTAGTGCTTGCACTTAGCATTACAATGTCAATTAACCGAATGTTACCAGGATACAAATTCTTTGATTTCTGTAATTTCAAGATTTGCCTTCATTTACTGCTTATTTTATTATGAAAGCTTTTGAGACCCTTTTGAGAAACTTTGGGGTACCTTAATACTTTCTCCAGCAGGAAAACAACCTACTTTCCTTTTTGCCATAGAATATAAATTCTCATAAAACAGTTATTGTAAAGTGTCCAGATTTGTTTATCTGGCTATTCCTCTTTCTTGTGGCTTTGAGTCAAAAATAAAAAATCAAAAGGTTGAAATTATTGCTTGTTCTGATTATACATTTTAGGAGTACATCACCTACTCCCTCACAAGCTGTTTGCAGTTAATACAGCGTCACTATTTTTCACCAGTATTGTATCTTTAAATGTCAAGAATCAGATGTCTGCTCTTGGAGCTATCATACTGCCGGTGAATGTTTGTGGCAGGAACATGGATCAGAAAATATTAAAACTGTTTCATTCTTAGGAGAGCTGTGGATAGCTTTTATGCACTTTAAACGAAGCACTTATGGCACATCTAAGTGTGTGTGTAAGATGGAACAACGTTGCACAGAGAAGAGAGAAGACCATGAGGAAAAAAGAGGTTTGCTAAGATGATTTGGTTTCATTTTAATGTAGTGGGACTCTTGTCTATTTGTATAGAAACTGTAGCGAGTGTTCTCATATGGGTGGTTTAATGAGACAGTCAGCTTCCACATTCTGTTGTTTAAGTCAATACGCAGAGAAGCATAGGGCTGAGGCATCCGCATTTAAAAATTGATCTTTTATTGAATGGCATGCAAAATAATTTTGAATGCCAGCCTCTGGGATTCTAAGTTTTAAATGTAAAGAAATGGATCTGTGTGTTTTCCATTAATTGTTAGGAGAGTGGGGTGGGGGGAGAGGGGGCAATGTGAATGCTCAGTGTGTATTTACAGCTGTGCGTGTGGACTCTGGGGATGGAGAAGTGTTTCAAAATAGCCTCAGGTTGCAACCTTTTGAGGGTTTTTTTTTTTATTAAGTTGCTTTTGTCTGAATTTTGTGAGTGAGAAGAAATCATAACTTTAGTCTTGATTGTTGTGGTTACTTTGGACTCAGAGATTTCTTCTGTTGATGTTTTTGTTTGAGTAAACAATCTTCAGTCTTCCTCTTAGGTTTAGATAAAATAGCTGACAATTCAGTATGTGACCAGATGGCTAGAAAAGAGCAAAAAACTGTGCCAGCATCAGCTTTAAATGAACACCTCCATAGGGACTTTTAGATAATGTTTAACTGACAGGAATAGACTCTTGAAGTGGAATTAGAGGACATTATCTGTGTCTGTATGAAAATATGTCCAACAATTGTCAAGGGCAGGAATTAAAATAACTAAATTCTCACTTAGAATAACTAGATTCTCACTGTGTTTCCCATCCTCACTGGTAGTTTTGTTTTGGTTTTAATTTCATTTTTTCTAATTGTACTCTTGTTTGTAAAAGCCAGGGAAATATAAATGGTTTGAAATTGTTTTTTAAAAAAAGGAAAATCTTAACCAGGCTTCAGTTAACATTGGAAATAATATTCAAACAGAATAAGGTAGATTTGAGGAAGCAGGTCAGGATTATTCCTCTCTCTTGGCAGCTTGAAAGGATGGCAAATGGATACAGGTATTAAAAAGTCAGTCTATTTTGAATGCATCCCATTGCCTTTCTCTTCACTATATCACTTATCTTTTTATACTACAAGCCCTTTGGGGCTTGGACTTTGTTCCCTTTTGTGTTTCCAGTGCCCAGCACTATGGGGCACAGAACTTAATTGAGGCCTTTTGGCTGTCCTGCAATATAAGTACATAGTAACAGCAGCAGAGTATTACTCCGTTAGTAGGCTGCAGAGGTATTCTGTATATCCGTATTTTCCTGGTGATCTCCTCATCATCCTACCAAAAGGCTGGTGTCCTATGTTAGAACAATTAGAAAAGCACTAAGATGAAAGCTTGAAATTCATGACAATACTGGACAACTCTGATAATTTAATTTCATTATTATGATGCTTCTTTGTTACTTTATTTGACTCATTAAATGTTAAATATCAACTCACTCATAATTTTAGCTGTTGTTTATGGTCCAGGACATAAACTCTCTGATTCTTGAAAGAGACAACTATTTTGTTCATGCAAACTCTTCTTGTGATAGTATCTGAATTCAATGAAGGAGTGCCTTTTTTTCAACTCAGGGTACTCAGGATAATTTTCTTTATCCTGATAGATTGAGTATATCAGAGATCACAGATGACATTGACTTCACATTTGCTTGTAAGGGCTTTTATCACAAAAGTATCTGGATGAATTCTCAGTGTAAAGACATGGAAATAACAAACAATTATCTCACTTGGTGTGATATTTTCCACATAACTGTTCTGTGGAAGGAGCTGGCAGTAGCTTCGTGTTACAGATGGGCTTATTTCTCATAATTTGGAATTTGGATCGAGTGCAGAGTCTTCCTGCATTGCACAGTCTTTCTTTACCCCAGCAGGCTCAGCTTCCAGCCCGGGTGCTAAGGCGCAATGTCCGTCCTTGGAGGTCTAGGGGAGGCTTGGCTCAACACTGTATCTTCAGAAAGAGATATTAGCTCCTAGACTAGTCTAAAGACTGTCAAGCAAACCTTTTCCTCTCACCTGCGTTTTGGGAATGGAATTGTAGTTTTGTCTTCTCTCTACTTCTTCTTTCAAGAATGAGGAGCTGGACGGTAGAAAGATAAGGTCCATTTTTTGATCTGTTTCTTAATTCAGGGAAGTGCTTTTATTTGATCCAGGTTTACAGTTGGACTTATTTGAAGGAAGGTGAGAAGGAACTGTTCATGTTTTCTCAAAATTCTTCTTCAAAATGGTTTCCCTCCCTTGAGAGAATAATTTATAAAGCAGTGGACAGCCTCTACTTCTCTGGTAACTTCTCTGGAAAAATTAAAATTAAGCAAACTATCGAAGACGAAATGTAAGCAGCAGTCTTTTTCTGCAAAAAACAGAGTCTAAATACACGGGTAGATATTTTTGACACTCTTGTTTTCTATGAATTCATGATTGTTGAAGCTAATAGAGTATCAAATACACTGCAGGTTTTGTCTCTGATTATAGTTTTGCCATTCAGTGTTCCCTGTAATTACTATTCCCATGGTCCTTGATCCATTCGTTAAGAGATGGAGAAAAAATACAAAGGATGACATTTTTCTTATTAGTCCTCTTTTCTTCTTATGTGGGTCAGTCATATGTTTTCTTTTGATCCCATTTGATGAGACTGAAGTCAGCTGTGTCAGATACTTGGGGCTGAGGATGGAAATTTTACTTCTGAAAACTGAAGTGCAGTAGGTGGGGACGACGGTGCAGTCATCGGAGTTCCGCATTAGCATCTCTTGTCCTTTGGTGGAATACTGTGAGAAATACTGTAAAAAAATATAAGCCAAGTTTCTGGGTGTAACAAGCATTTTCTGGTGGTGAAGGGCTCTGGTTCGTACTGGTTTCTTGTGTGAGGGTTGTCTGTAATATGTATCATTATTGAATGTGTAGTGTTAAGAAACTCATAGTTAAAGTGACTTGTTTTACAGTCTCAGGACAAGGCACTTCCACAGTTTCTTAGGAGATACTGCTCAGTCCCAGCCTCTTGCTTTTGCCTGTGACCATGGATGGCCAAATAGAGGGCATTGCCCTAGGTCAGGGTGCTGGTAAGGACTAGTATTTGTCATATGAGTTGTTAAAGTGGTACGTTAAATTACAAAGTGCTATCCTTATGACACAGCAATTTATGTTAGATCTGTTATACGGGGCTTATCTATTCAAGTCTATTTGTATCTTCAGTTAATCTCTACTTTTCCCTCATTTGTGGTGTTTGCATTTCTGTCGCAACTACCATACTCAAATTAATTTTTCAGTATGTTCTTGTGTGTGTGTGTATATATATATATATAAGTTGTGTTTTAATATTCATTAATATTGATGTTCCATTTTTAATGTATCTGAAGACCTGCCTTTTTTTCTCTTATTCCATTATAAATTGAAAATTAATGAAGCGTATATTATTTCCCCTTCAATTTTCCAGTCAGAACTACAAAGTATATGATGTATAAGTAAGTTCCACATTTTTTTTACTGAGCTCATATGAAACATACTTTTTGGTAAAGCTAGTGAAACAATTTGAACAACTGTGAAATAAAATGTCAAATGTTATAATGTATTCTAGGACAGCTTCCAGGTAATGGAATAATCATGAAAACATTTGGAAATTCTTAAATGTTCATGAATGTTAAAATAAACTAGTATCTAAGAACATTAAAACTGAAAAAATGTCATTCATCGAAAGCTAATTTATTTCAGTTTTAGAATTGTGAGATGGGTAATATGAATAATGAATAGTTAGGGAATTTGTGGGCACTTGGAAAATACAAATAAAGCACAAAATAGCTTATTTACAAAAAATATATTCATAACAAATAATTCCATTGAACCTACATCTTGGTTATTTAGCCTACCTGCAAACCTACCCAAGATGTCTTTGCTATATTAAGACAAATATATAGGAGCGTGTTTCAGTACAGCCATCCTCCTCATCTTTGCAGTGCTTTAATTTCCCTTAAAAAAAAAAGAAATTGTCAGCTCAGTTAGTGAGAATGGTCTTGCCATATATTTCACC